TTTCAGGACCCCCATCTGTCCTCCCTCGCCAATTGGTCGTCGCGGTCGGGAAGTCAAAATAATGCCCTATTGTCCACACATAGTACACCAGTTCAGACTTCAGTTGGGTCGCGTGGGATGCGCACGTGACGTCACGCTTGTGTTTACAAAGCAAATGAAAAGTTCAACCTCAAGTCAACGCTATTTATCAAATATGTCCGCACTTCGTGGAGAGGGCCGCGGTTTTTCTTACACACGGATGTGTCTCTGAGAACAAACACGATTTTAGGAGATTTTCGGGACCCCCATCTTTGTCATAGGGTGACTCGTCTATCGGACTGTTCGTCGCAGCGAGAGTACAGGGAAGGATAATAATTCATACCCTATATCGTGCAGAAGAGAAAAATATTAAAAAAAAAAAAAACAAAGCGAAAATTTCGATTTCCTTCTTGTGGACAGGGCATTGTAGGTGAACGTGGCTTCCTTGTTTGATTCGCCAAAGTAGCAACAAAGCGGCATTTTACGATCGAGCGAGCACCGTCGGAAACACTGCCCAAAATAATTTTATAGGGAGTTTCACGGCTTTCCACTGTGACATAAGCACCTGGTTTTTCTTCATAATTTGATGACTCATATGTTGATTTTGTTTGCGGAACCGTACTTCTGACCGGCAATTTTATTGCGTACGCGAAGCTTTTGCGTGCGATCCACTAAAGTTAATTATTTTGGGGAGTCCAAGTTGAAGCGGTGCGTGTTATTTTTCAATCTCTGTCCGAATGATACAAAGTTTCACGTTTTCACCCTGTGAGTGAAGTGAGTTGGTCAGTGCTAGCATCGAAGGCTAACTTCGAACTCTAATTTGGAAATAATGTCTCTGTTGCTGCATCGCGGACAAAGATATATATGCTCTTATCACTGTAGCAAAATAATGTGGCAGGATTTGTGCTCTTGTTATGATCGTGTACCATTGTAGTCGACGTCATCCCAGCACGGCGTATCGTTTTTGTATTCGGTTCAGCCCTGCAAACCACACTTAGGAAAAAAATAAAAGTTTGCACCTTGTTTGTTCAATTTTTTTGTTATACTGCAGAAACACATTGCGCCCCGTGTTTTTGAAGGCACGGTAGACGGTGGTGACGGTGAGGTGACCGACCCCCATGTCAGCCGGCGTCTCGCTCGACCTCCTCGGAGGACAGGTCGTTTTTACAGGTGACTGGTGCATACGTGGAGCAACTCCGCGCGCATTGCGTTCTTCATCTCAGAGAACGCAATACATGACCCAGCTCTATCTCGTCATCGCTCCAAAATGACAAGTGGAATTCGCAACTGTAGTCGGTGACAGGGCAAGAACGAAGTGGGAGCTCCTCCCACCCTGTTCCACTTCAACGGAGCGAACGGGGGAGTGGAGGTCGCCCCCTCTCCAGCGTTCGCAAATGGCAAATTTTAGCTTATTAGGCCACTAACTGTCAATTTACGCTCGTTCCTTTACGTCCGCCGCAGCCGATAATGTTATCCCCGGGAATACCAAAAGTATAATTTCTTTCAGCAAAAAAACAAACAAAACAAAACATAATAATAAAACGCCCGGTATATCACAGCTTTGACAACGCTTCACGTGTGTGAGGTTCGATGACCGACAGAGAACCACCGCTGGCCGTGCTCCCGAAGCGGGCAAGTGCAATTTATGGAGACCGATCATATTATCAGAAAGGTGCAGACTAGGGAGCCTTCATGTGCACGAAGCGCACATGGAGGCACTCTAATGCAGACAATCCAGGAAAAGTATTCTTGCAACTATGAGGTTCCAGTTGTACTTACACATGCATTATCGTCAAATTTGACGGAGTTCCTTCCAACACTAAAGAGTTTTCAAGAGTGAAGATTATAAAGGAGAATATCAGCAGGAATCTATTGTCTGTTTACTGAAAACAAAACAAGCATCAGAAAAACGCATTTGGGCGGCCGGGGAGGCCAGAAGCACGGACTGCGCGCACCCAGCGTGGAACCAGCGAATGAGAGGGCACTCCTAGCAATCTGTTTTCAGAGCCACGGTATGCCGGCTGCCGGCCAAATGTCCACTTTAATTCTATTATGGCTTTCGAAACGTAAATACACGCTCGAGAATTTTCAACAATATCACGCGAGCGCCGACCGGCCTGTAGATCAGCGCATCGTCACGGCGCGAAGTAGCGATATCAATGACAGTACGCGCGTGCGCAGAAGAAACGCGCCGAAGTCGGCGCCGGCTGCTAAGCTGTTTCCCCAATCACGACCCACCCCTGGCGCGACGCCCATCGCTTGCTCCACCCCATAAAGCAGGGGACCTAGTAATCAAAGCGACACACACGGTACGCAAACACGAACAGCAGCCAGTAGGAAGGACACCGACACGAGCTTAGACAGCGAACGAAAAGACAGACACAAACTTCACTCTAGGCAAACAGAGCAGGGGTAGTTACAAGGATGAGAGGCGTGCGCAGACGGAGGTAAGCAGTGCACAATAAATACGCGAAAACTCGCAGCAACCGAAGAACCACGCAGCAAACACGTACACGCACCAGAAGCACGTGCGTCACGCTGCGTATCTACGCGGAACTGGCGATTTTGGCATTTCGGTAATTTGAAACTTCGATATCGATTGCGCGAACAATTTATTCAGCAAACTGAACCGGTGGAGCCTCGCATAAAAAAAAAAATCGTTTGACAATATGAAAGCGACTGAAATTCTTCCTAAAAGCTATATTAGCAGAAAGTACCGTGTTATAAAGGACCTCACGAGTTTCGACCAAGTTTTCCAGCACGTTATTTTGCAAGAAACGGAAGAAGCCAAGTGTACAACCAGTTTCCGAAGCTGGCAACCACAGCTGGAATCAGCGCCATCCTCGGCAGTTTCCTGAACCTCGCGTAGTCACATTTCAGCCACCGCCACATAGAGGGCGCAACCAGACATCCAATTTGTGTTTTCTGTATGTTTTATGATTTGTTTTAATAAATAGGCTCGATTAGTGAAAATGTGGGCTAATAATCAGGACCTGGAACAGTAATCTCCATTTAATTCTAAAAATATCGGCCTAAATGTCTGCCAAAAAGGGTCAAAATACTCAGTTTTGACTATCAACAAATTCGTGATTTCGCCTATATTCAAACTTTTTGTATGGAAACTCAAAGGTGAAATTTAAAAAAAGGGCCTCTAATGACAAAGCAGAATATGTTTTTCTTTGCAGGTCTACAATTTTATTCAAATGTGCCAATCCCTAAGCGCTGTACCACTGTACTACCAAATGAAGTTTGCCAAAAAAAACTGTTTTTGTCACTTTTCACGTGAGCATTTCGAAAAACGTTTAGGCCATATTACAATGAAATTTAGCGTAGCTCTTTCTACCATAGTTGCAAACACATGTAAAAGGTTTCAAATAAAATGACTGAGTAGGCGGCCAAAAATCCGCGACTGAATGTGCTTCCGCGAGGTACATTTTTTAAAGTAAATATCTGTCAAAATAAAATGAAAAACGAAAAAAGGGCCTCTAATGACAATGAACGCACTCTTCAATCTTCTATAACATTCTAAAATTTGAAATAAATTGCTCCAATTGTGCACCCTGTACCACTGTACTACGAAACCATGTTTTGCCGAAAAGGCCAATGTTCGCGGGTGCCCACTGAATTAGCGTTTTGCACTAGGAAAACAAATCCTACATCAGAGGAAGGATAATGTTGTACAAGACAAGATGATATATAACACATAATTTTAGAAAGCTTGAACACGCCACAATCGCATTTCGAAAACGTGCGGAAAGCGTCATATGTCATGGCCGCCGTGGGACCGCAGCCTTAATAGAAACCTGCTGCAAATCATTAAAAACCACTAAATCAGTTTGTTTCTAGAAAGACTTGAGTGCTCATGCAGCAAGTGCAAAGCTATGCAACGAGAAACAGCGAGGGGGAGGGGAGAGCGCGCAAGGACATCGGAACACCGAGCTCTGACTGGAATGATTAGTGGGTAGACGGTAAACTAGCTGCCTTCGTCTCTACTCACTCTTCAAATGTGTTTGACTGCCAAATGCCGGCGTTTGCATTCAAATGCATTCAAACACTGAGTAGAGGCAAAACCAGCTCATTGTTGCCAGTGTCCATTACTGACTTGTTACGCCTAATTCACTTGGTCAGCATTGCAACTACTGTACACGCTTTTGCGGTCTGAGCGACGTTGTGACTGGAAATAGCGAGTAGAATCTCATCATGGGAATCAGGCTTTAGCGTCCATTCTGCAGCAATCACGAGGAGTGAATCGCCGCACGTCACATTATTTGTGCAAAGCTTTGCGTAGTAATGAGCCTCATTAATTTCTCTCAATGCGAAAAAGACACCAAGGACTTGCACCGACGCCTACAACATTGCATTCAAATGGTTTGTTGATGTGGGACGTGCCACTTCTTGCCCACACCCCGTCACGCATGCACCGTCTTGATGGCATGCCGCTTGGAGCACTCCGGTTTGTTTGTACACATAAGTTGGTGTATACACAGAATCACAGAAAAAATGTGAATGGACGCAGCGGTAGCACTGAGTTAGTTTTTTCGGACATGTCTATGTGCACATTATCCTTGTGTCATTCTTTATGTGAGCATCTGGCCCCAGATACATTTTGGAGTGTACCATGTGATATGAACTTGCTCTCAAATCCATGTTTTAGCAATAAAAATATATGTTTAATTTGTTTTTGTGTAGAAATAGTAAGTTCGCTCAAAGGTTCATGCGGCAGTTTTAAAGGACAATGAAAACATTTTTAGTTTTTAGTCGGCCAAACATAAATGTAATGTTTGGTTTCTCAGGATACTTAGAGCCCATAGATGCAGTTATGGCCATCAATAGACCATTGCAGAAAGTGTTGCAGGGGCCCATTCATTTTTATTATTAACCTTTCTTATATTTCATAAAAATATTAGCAACATCTACTGGAAAAAGAAAAAAAACCTGTAGCATTATTTTGTTTTTGTTTACACATTTTTATCTCAGTAGTTTTGGAAGTATGTTCATTTTATGGATGAATGAGCTACACCTTTCACCAGAAACTTTTTTTCCCCATAGTTATAAAGGGACATAAACTAACTGACCTATTTGTGTGAGGCACTCTTTGCAGCCAAATCATTCTCTTTTTATTAAATTTATTCCAAAAAAGGGAAAAAACTGCATCTTCAACAACTGCAGCCAACGTATTGCCAAGAAGGCTTTCCATTATACAAAAGTTCATGCAGCCGTAACAAGTGATAGCAGGGATTGCATCAGAACATGATAAGAACACACAGTAAATTTGCATCTACCTTTTGTAATTTAGACATTAGTTCCCGCCTTTCATCTTAGCTGACGTTGTTGCGCGATGCCTGGAGCCAGCGCCATTCTGCTTGAGCAGCATGAACATGGCACAGAAGTTGGGTTGCCACGGGCCAGGTGGTTTGCAGAGTAGCTTTTTCCACTGCAGAATTATCAGTCATGAATGCTTTGGGTGCCTGCAGAATATAATAAACATGCAGGTGTTTCATGCTTGTTCAAAACAAAATGATTCTCTTATTAACACTTGTGTTTATTCATTTGAAAATGAATATTTCGCATCACCTTAAGCAATGCAATGGCTATACAATAACCTTCCACTTCAGCTGCTGTGTCCATGTGCTTCCACTCGGAGACTCTCTGTCATGCCCAATTATTATGCCTATGGACCAACACTTTTTGGAACAGCACTTAGCAGATTTCTTAATGGAGATCCCATGACTTGTGGGTGAAGTGTCTGGGGACCCTGCTGATCTCTCTATGAAGAGAAAGTTGTGTGCTATTATAAGGTGTGAAAAATGGATATAAACCCACTGGTTTATACCAATCAAGCGGACAAATCTCGTTACTATGCAGAGCAGCTTCTAGAAAATAGATCCAAAAAGGACCCTTCAAGCATTGCATGGTTACTGACTAGATATTATATACGGTATAAATCTCAATCAAACTTGCATAGTATTTGTATTTTATTTAAAACAATTTCAGGAGAGATGTAGAAGCCTGCCTGCAAATGCTTCAAAGTTTAAAATATAAATTAAATTTAAAACCAAAGCAGCAATACAAGTCTGTTGAATCCCCTACCCTGTGTGACAAAATAATAATATTTATATTTATGTTTGTACATATTTTGCACGTATCTAATAGCCTCAGTTATTTATTCATTTTTTTTAACTTGAGTCATTGAAATTGAAGTTCCCCTTCTAGACGGAAAAATAAAAACTTATCTCATCTCACCAGGCTCGTCTGCTAAGAGAAGAGGGCTTGTCTCTGCATACACATGCGCTCTACACAAAAGCGGCAGAGGGAGGAGTTTATGCAAGCAGACTTTCTCTATAGCGTTAGTTTAGATATCACCTCGGCATAAACTAGTGAAGCAAGATTAAATTAGACTACAGTATCTTTTTATTGCATTGTTTCATCTCGATTAAGGCACCACTCCTGTCGTGCATGTAAATTTGCTTCCCCCGGTTTCAATACGAATACTCGAAATATTAAATCATCGAGGACGGGGCGGAAACGGGACTTCTTGAAAGAAATCCTGTTTCCGTCCCCGTCCTCTATGTTTTATCCTTTCAAGTATTCGTATCTATTCACCAGCATGCTCGTTTTTAATTGTTATCCCCGTTTTTTTTTTTTCTGCAGCATGTTACCAAAAGGCATTGCTGTCTTCCCAGATGACAAAAGATTCATTGACTCCTGTTTGACTGGTGCATTCATGCAGGAGTAAGATGTCCAGACTTTGGTATGGGTCAACGACAATTAATGATGATCAAACGTTGCCCAATGGATTGGGTGTTTTTGTCTTTAGTAAGAAATAGAAGGATTTTGACGTGTTCACTCAAGAGCTGTTGATCCTTAGTATGACATTTGCATCAAAAGTTTTGTTTTGGAAAATCTCTTACTTTAGTTCCACTGAATGCCTCAGCTGTATTCTAGTATAAAGTGAATAGTTTAAATGGCTAAATATTCACAGGTTTTAATAAATATAAATTTTAAAAACCACAAAAAATTGCCCAAAAGAAATGTGGATTAATATTTGCTTAACAGTTTTGCCGTCTCTGGTTATCTCTTATATAAAATATAGAACTCGAGAACAAACTGGTTTGCAATTCAGTTCCAAATACCATAGTTTTTGTCTTACTAAACCTTTAAAATTCATAGTAAGATAAAAAATTTAATGAAGTACTTGACAAAAATAATGAAAAAATATCTTTAAAATAAAGATGTATACTACTGTGAAATTTTGAACAAAGCAAAGCACAGAAGACCCAGTGCAGAAAATAATTGAGGATAGTTTTAAATGTGGGTAAATATGCTTTCATGATGTTACCTATTGTAGCAGCCATTGCAGAGTGCAAGATGGGGACAACATTCGGCGACAACTTTTCTTGGCAATGCAGTGGAGAGGGGGAGACCCGTGCACAGCTTTATTAAGTGCTCAAAATGGGAGAGGGAACGCATGCCTGTACCTTCCACTGCATTGCCAAAAAAAGCTGTCGCCGAGTATAGTGCCTGGCAGTTAAGGCACCATTTTCTGCGCTCCTGGCTGAGCTGCACACAATTGTACCGGACGTTTGGTCTACGGGCCGCTTTGTTTGAACGAGCAGAAGACAACATGCAGAAAAGTTAGAGAGCAGACGGCAGTTCGAACAATCAGGCAACAGTCCGAACAATCAGGCGGCCGTTCGAACTTGAAGACATACTGAACGTAGTCTGCAGGTGGTCCGTACAACTTTGCAGTTTTTCTGCGTTCATGTTGGAACAAAACAAATAAATCTGACGACCACAAGTATTCATGGATTGAACCCAAAGTGCTTCCCGCACAAGCATTCGTGGTCCGACGACATCTGGTTTTACTTTTTCATGGCTCCTATCCACGTTCTCGGACGAACCGAGCAGGCAGAAAACACGTGAAAACTGACCTTCAAACCTTTCCCGACTCTTTTGGCACAGTCCTAGTCGTGGCGTTTTGACAACAAGGCGGGTTTCTGTCTGGTTTCTACAAAAACAACGCAGGAATGCACATCCCACATGGTGCCTTCCACCCACAGCCCCAGACCGGAAGTACGCCCGACGCACCACTACCGCGCCATGATGTAACAGAGCCGAGTTTGTGTATTGAATGAGGCATGTGCCTCTGGAATTGTTTCTTTTTACATTACTGATATTTGTAAAAAAAAAGATACTAAGACTTTGTTAAAGATACAGAAGGCATAAAACTTGTTTGATTTTGCCATAAAATGCTATTGTAAAAATAAATTACATCTTACAAAGTCCTTTTCACAGTTTGTCTTTCCAGACGTTTTGCATTGTATCCGGCAAAAAAGAAATGGTGTACACTATTATTTTTGCAACGACAGATTGACTATAAGAAGTATCGTAATTTACTTCACAATCAATGTATAGAGCTGAATTATTTTTTTAGGGCACTATTTATCAAGTAGCAAATACAAAAAAAAAAAGAATGTTTTCATTTTAAGCTGAGGGTTTAAAAGTTGACCCTTCTGGGCAGTGTCCTCCCTTGATGCATCTGCACATAGCTCACTTACATGAGCACCACCGAAGCAAGATGGATACTTCCACTTTACGAGTCCGAAAGCAGCTGCCTACCTCTCAGTGCTTTGAGAACTATGCAGCAGTACAGCCGGGGGTATGGCACTGGCTGGGGTTGCTGCCAGCACCACCATCCCTGAGCTCTGGGACTCGTCGCATGATGCAGTTGAGTCCAGAAAGGCGATCTCCCTGGCGGCATCCAATCCCCGCGCTCGTTTCATGATCCCCATGACTACAAGGACTGCCCAGCAGGTTCCATCCGGGGATTTGGTAGTTGTCACGTTAACTCCTGCAAGAGATGCAAATAGGGACGATACTTAAAAAAACACTGAACATGCAAAAAAGCTGGAACATTATGTTGCAAGACACACTTTGAGCTAGGAGCTATTCAAAAACATGCTTCTATTTCATGATGTCGATCTTGCAATAGAATAATGTTCAGAATCGCCCTCAAGTCAGTTAATCTTGCAGGATAAATATTGTGTTAGATATTTTATGGTGGGTAATAATAATTTTGTGATATGTGTCCTAATTCGGTGCTTAAAAAATGTTTTCTGAGAGTTCAGTTAAGAGGGTTATGCAAGAATTTTTGGACTTTGGCCAATTATTTGCGGAAATTGATACATGCAAGAGGGGAAGTGCTGTGCCAATTGTGCCATCGTATGCCAATCCACTTTCTCACAAATGAAAATGTTCTGCCAAAACTAAACAAAAAGGTTTCTTGTTTTTTTTAAGGCTATAAAAACAGTCGATTTTTGTTTGATGATAACAGGCACCAAGTGCCTATTGTCATCTAACAAGAATGATTGTGATTTATTCCGGAGCACAGAAATGGACACAGTGTTCAGTTTTGTTTCATGGTCTCATGTTGATGAGCTGTCAAGTGCCAGCAGCTCGAGGGAGAACCGCACGAGTTGGTTGTTTAATTCGTCCATTTCGAACGCGAGGAAAAGTAAATGCTTTTATTGTTGTTCAGAAATATACCACATTTGAACGAATATGAACAACACACAATAAGAAGTTGTGTGTTTATTTCCATTCCCCATACCACGCGCGAGGGCAAACGCCTTTCCGTAGAGCTCGGCTTCCACAATATTTGAGAAGATAAAAACACTGGGAAACCAAACCACGTACGATGTATCCAGGCCAAAGTGCAGGCCAGCACACATTTCAAGGATTTCTGACAGCACAGTTATTCAGTGCACATTTGTATGTTCAAACAAACTGTCCGTAACATATTGCCATGTGCATGACCGAGAAGGAACGCTTTACCCCGGACCTTCACTAGAAATGTTGCAGATGGAAAAGGTTCGATGAGTGTAAAATGAAAATAAAGGTTTAATCGGCGAGCTTGTGCCAGAAACAAAAAAAAAGGAATCTGTCGAAACATTAGCAGCGTACGTCGCAGCTTTGGCATAGTTTAATCAGTTGAGCATGTTTTACAGTTGCGCAATTTGTTTTTTTTCACTGTGCCACATTGTAGACCTTTGTTGGTGGTTAATTGGCACAAATAAAGGCATTATGATGATGATGATGATGATAGCAACTGGCTGGAGCGAGAGTGAATATGCTTCGTCGTACGGAGAATCTGAGTGAGTCAGCAAAGCTCACGCTCGATCCCTTATTTACTACACTCCGCGTCTCGAACATTCAACCTAGAATGTGTGAGACTGACTAGGCAAGGTCATTTGGGCCTCCTCATCTTCTACACTCAAAACACAAATCTTCTAGATGTAAAGAGAAGTGAATTCCTTCTCGGTCGTGTACTCAACAATAATTACACAATGTTATTATTCAGCTCCTTGGCTATTGGGGTCTTACTTCAAACTGAAAAATAAAGTAGAATTTTTTCTCAGCATGGGGATTAGAAGCAGGTGCAAAACACACACCCATAATGCAAACCAGCAAAACGAAGTTTGAGGTCTGAAACCGCTCATGTTAGAGTTAAAATAATTGTTCCTTCATTACAACCCACATCAGCTGCAATATAAAAAAGAGGGCCCGACGCTGCTGTGATATGTTCTAAACAGATGCTCTGTCTCGCTATAGTTTTAGCAAATCTCCATGCGTGTGATGACTTTCATCAGACAGTATTGTTTCTACGCAAATACGATTAGTTTTTATAAATCTGGCGAGTTTTCTTAGGCCAGCCATGTCCCAAATAATTACAAAATCAAAATTGTGTCATTGTGCAAACAATTCAAACTGTTACAGAAGGCATACTTCATTCATTCCGTTTGTGTTTGTCATGCGTTTGTCTGCAGAAGGCATCTCGAGACGTCTCGAGTACCAGAAGTTGTCCTCGCAAATATTGCAGAAACAGCTGATACTCGGCAAACTTCTGTCGTGGTAGGTGTGAAATCTAGGCTCCCTATGTCTATTCTTTTTAGACATGTAAATTCCACGTCTCATTTATGGTCAATCACTCTTTCGGAGCTAAATTCAGTCCCATCTATCCATTCATAGTTCGCCCCTACTAACAGTTTGTTTGGAGCGGTGACTTCACACTTACGGGCGCAAATGGGTACAAATTGAACTGTACTCGCGCCTCGGGGACTCGAAAGAAAAGGCATCAAGGCAGGATGAAACTGATCACTAAGTTTTCTTCAGTTTATTTTTTTTTCTTGTAGTATGAACTATAAAGTTTTCTAAGAAATGACGGAAAGGTTGTTTATTGTTTCTGTCAGCGAAAAAGTCTGGTGAATGGCTCAAAGAACATAGAATTGTCCATTTAGTTATGAGGAGTGACCAAAAAGTTACATACAGGACATATTTAACTGCACGTCGACGGAGCACCGGAGAACAGTACAGTTGGCAGCATTAGATGTTGTGTCTCTTCCTGTGCTGAGCTGTTGTAGATTTTCTGTAAACTTCTTTGTTGTCAAGTAACAGACGTTTTTGTGAAACAAGTTTGCTGTGTTTGGCGTTTTTGTGATCTTTTGTCAACTGTATCAAAAAGAAGAGTAATGCTTTTGTTTCAAGTTTTGTGTGAAGTTGGGTAAAAAGTTTACAGAAACTTTTCAGATGTTGCAAGAGGCTTTAGGGGATGAATGCCCGAGTCAATCACAAAGTCATGAGTAGTACAAGTGCTTCAAAGAAGGCTGGACATTGTCGGAAGACAATCCTCGTTCAGGATGGCCATCAACTTTGCCTGCTGACGATCATGTTGCCAGAGTGATCCATTTCCATGCGATCAAATTGTCCACTAACCATCTGTGAAATGGCAGAGGAATGCAACATCTCATTTGGCCCATGTTGAGAAATTCTAACTGAACAACTGCAGATGTGCCGAGTGGATGCAAAGTTAGTTGTGACACTGTTGATTTAGGAGCAAAAAGAACAGAGTTCAGGTTTGTTGGAAAGTTCTTGAAATGGCAAATGATGATGAAAACTTTTTTAAACGTGTCATTACTGGGGACAACACATGGGTTCATGGGTAGGATGTGGAAACAAAAGTTCAATTATTGCATTGAAAGACAAAATCCTCTCCAACACCAAAAAAAGCTCAACAAGTGAAATCAAATGTAAATGTCATGCTCACTGTTTCCTTTAACTAGAAAAGTGTTGTCTACTACAACTTCCATGCACGAGGCGAGACAATTAATCGTTTTGGTTATTTTCAGACCCTGAGACATTTGTGCGAGGCTGCGAGGAGAGAAAGAGCTAGGCTGTGGCAAAGTGGGGAGTGGGTGCTACACTGTGACAACACGCCTGATCATTTTGCATTGCTCATTCGCGATTTTTGCACAAAAAATGTCATGATCGTTGTCCCCCACTCACTGTACTCACCAGACGTGGCCTCTGTGGACTTCCACCTATTTCCTAAACTCTGAGACCTTTGAAAGGGCAGAGATTTGACTCAACTGACAAAATTAAAGAAAAATCACTGGAGGAGCTGAACAGCATTCCAGAAGATGAGTTTTCATCCTTCCAGAAGTGGAAACAGCGGCGAAAAAAATGTTTAGTTTCCCAAGGGGAGTACTTTGAAATGGACAGTGTCCAATAAGGTTTTCAATAAATTTAAAAAAAATTGTCCTGGAACTTTTTGATCACTCTTTTGTATTATATATTTATTCAGATACCTACAGTGCCATAAGGCATTACAATAGGGGGGAAGAAATTTGGGAGTGGAAGTGGTAATGCTTATACAAAAACAACAAATATGACAATCGCAATACCACAAACATTAAAATTTACAATATCTTTCATAGCAATTGGCAGGCTGTCCTAACAAAAAGTCACAAATAGACGGAATACTATGAGGTCAATGTAGAAGAAACATTTCATTAGGTAAAACGCTAGTCACAGGAACTGGCAATTTGTTTCCTGTATTGTTAAAGGGGAAAAGGAGTTCTTATCAACCAAAGTAATGCCACGGAATTCCTTTCTGTATCTCTGTATAAGTGTATTTTGATAGCAAGAAAGTTGAACATGTTTACCTATTCTAGATTTTTTTATTAAGGCTTTATATGATACCTGCAAATGGTTTCATATGCGGTATGCCTTGTTAAAAAAACAATCTTTTGGAATGCAGGGGTGAGACAGGTGAAACAGGTTTTGGAGCAATTTTTGGAGCAGAAAAATCTGGATTTTGGAGCAGCTTAGGAGCACAAAATTCTTGTTTTGGAGCAGCACCTTATGCATTTTGGAGCAACTTCGAAGTACAAAAGTCTACAGTTCGGAGCAGATTAGGAGCAAAAAATGTTAGAGCAGCTTATCAGCAATTTAAATCATAACAAATCGTATATCAATCGCATAAATGAGATGTTTCTTTTTTAATCGTTATTGTTGTCCACCCTGGTTCTAATAAGTCATCAGCGCCGATACGCACCGAGATAAAATATAAAAGAAAAGAAAACGGAAAAGGCAAACGCGAGTTTCGTGCCATAGATGAGGACAGGAAACACAGGTTTGCTGCAAAGTTAGGTGGGCACCCGGTACCTCAAGCTTATACGAACTGGTGCCAAAGCGCAATTGTAGTGCAAAACTTTTTAAGGTGGTGATTCGAGAGCACGAAGAGGGAAACACGGTTTACTGCAACCAGACATCGATGCACACTCGTAGAAAGCACGTGCAGATAGAAAAAAACTCCTTACAAAAGTGAGTCACAAGGTAAATAGTGAACTGAGGTAGAAAAACTATGAGCAGCACATGCACGCTAAATACGGGTGTGTGACCGATTCATTCGATTGCCCACGCACTGGAAGCACGTGTGCGATAACCGAAAGTACTCACGGCGATGGCGACGTTCATTTTGACGAGATAACGGACACGAATGAACAATTGTACAATGGAGACACTCAATAGCACTTTTAAGAAAAGGTTTACTCTCAAAACGAAACAGATACTTAGGTTTGCTCATCTTGATAGCCTGTGCGTCGTACCTCCGCGGCCAGACAGCGAGACCGCGTGACAGTGCACCGGCAGCATGCAGCTACAAATCACAGCGAAAAGTAGTAGGAAAATCGGGAAAATACACGTATCATATGTATAGAAGGGTACTGCAGCTGAAACCTTCGCATCCGGCGGTTGCTTGCGCCACCCTGTAGCCGTGCCGTGTACTTTACTACGACGAGATTGAATGTTGCCAACCAAGCTTTTGTTTCCCGCTAAATTTAGCGTCGCCGCAAACATTTTTTTTGGTTTTTGAGTTACTTTGGCGCAGTGTGGCGCAATTTCGACCGATCTAACGTTTCTGGCGCAACTAGGTGCAGAAAATTGGGCTTGTATCAAAATGGCGCAATTGGTGCAGATGTCACACCCCTGGGAATGTTACAATGAACTCAAAATACTGCATGCATAGGGTGCTGATAGGGTAGTTGCAATATGAGAATATTTTGAGGCAATGAAATCGTGCTCTGTTAAGTATTGTAAACGACCTAATTCTAACGAGGATGTACTTTTCGCAAATTTCATGACTTGAAAAATATTAGAAAAAATGGGTCGCGGCAATATATTACCCCATGGTAGCGAATACATAGCATACCGCTCCTAATAGCAAAATGTTCAACTACCCACAATTTGCAAAATTTATGAAATATCAAGCCTGGGAAGATAAAGCCTCTTTCAGTATGTTGCATCCTTTTTAACTTGGGTTTATACACGTTTGCAAGTCCGGCTTCAGGGCGCTGCCATCTTGCCTGTCTGGGGTGCGCTTGGACCAGTCATAATCCGATTACGAAGCCTTGCTAAGGCGTCGTAATCGGATTATGGCCGCTCCCGAGAGCGCACCCAAGGAGGTTAGAAGTACTAGGAGGGGGCACGTTGCAATATTGGTGAAGCCTAGTCATAAAAAGTTTAAACGATTCTGTGCCCAGCGTGACCGCAGCTCTCTCTGGCGATAGGTGGGCGTGACATGTCACGTGTGAGATGGATGGTTGATTGTAGAAGGACTCCTTGCAGGTTTGCGCGCGCTCCGTCCGGTAGGTTTTATCAGATCAAAGGCTAGACTGTGGTGTATTCCAGTAGCCTATAGTAAGACGAAGGCTAGCTACAGTCACGTGATGTGGCCACGTTGGCATGGTGAGTGGGGAGAGTAAGGAGGAAATTGAGAAAGAGGCGAGGCGTCAAGGGAGCATGGCTTGTGGAGGCTATGCGGCCGACGTCATGCCCTCTCCTACCCTTCTATTCTCCATGAGTGCACCCCACTGAGGAAGATGGCGGCGCCCTGAGACCGGACTTGCAAACGTGTATACTAACTGATCACCCACCATTCTTTTCTCTGTATTTCTTTTCCTGTCCTAACAAGAAAACAAAAATTTATGACCAATAGACCCTTTTTGAAATTGAGTCTGGCCACTTCGATGACTGTCATCATTTGAAAAATGGCGTGTGTGCTATAGACGATTGCAAGCAGGACATCTGGCCGCCGCCATGTCTCTGCACGTGCGGGCAGGCACATGCTATTGCAAGCCTGTCAAGGCCACGCTCACGCGCACGCTACGCGTCTTGATACCCATGGGGCAGCAGTCGGGACGCTAAACTTGCAATCGTCTATACTAATGACGGCCTTCAGTTTACTGATGAAGGAAGAAGTTAAAGGTGCTTGTAAGCAGATAATTCGAGCCCTATACATTTGAGATGTTAGCACGATGCGAAGCAGGAATTGGATGCAAGAGCCACGTAAGCGTTCATTTCTATTTCCGGCCCAGTCAATCTGTTATAGCTAGGGTTCGGAGTTTTCGGTTTAAACCGATAAAAACCGATAAAGTATGCCGAACCCATTTTCGGAAATTCGGTTTTAACCGAAAAAGGCCAGTTTTTAGGTTCAGCGCTTTCGGTTTCAACCGATAAAATACCCCGAATCCATTTTCTAAAACTCTGTTTTAACCGCAAATGTTCAGTTTTTTAGGGCCGCGTCGAGATGGGCGGGGTGGGGGTGGGGGAGGGGGGGAAGGGAGAGAGGACGTTGCAAGGTTCGACAATGTGTGACCTCTTCATGACTGCCCTCTACCAAGGTTCAACATGCAGCAAAAGAGGTCTTGGGTTGTCCTTGGCAGGACATCTGTGTGCTTTCTGCATTCGGGCTTAGTGTGTCAAGTTCCTGGTCCTAAAAAAAAAAGTTTAAATGTGGTTTTTCACTTTATGCAAGATCTGCAGCCAGAGTTCAGTGAACACACGAAATATGTCGTTCTTCACAACGTCGCACCGTGTCTCTCTTGGTAGTCACATTTGGCTGATTGGCTGATTTAGGCTCAGGCAGCGCTTCATCTCCTCAGCCTGCCAGTGTCCAGTGTTAAGGTTGAGAGAGCATTCCCGGAGCCCAGGGTCATTAACAGGAAAGAATGAGCTTGGATAAATGAGGAGACCCTGGGAAAGTACACATGTGTTTACTATATAATAAGATCACGTAGTCCTGAACGTAATCCTGATGTACAGAAGGTGAAGTTCCATGTTTTTTGGGCACTTACTTGTTTGTACTTCTGTTTTTTTTTACAGTTACACACATTTGTTAAATAAAGCGTCCATGTTTTTTTTATCAATGTATCCGTGGGGTCTAGGACATTTCGGTGTAGGACATTTCGGTGTAGGAACTTTCGGTGCGGACTTCTCGGTGTGCGGCCTTTTCGGTGCAAGACATTTCGGTGTAGGGACTTTTCGGTGCATGGACATTTCGGTGTATGGATATTTCGGTGCATGGTCGTTGAACACAAAAGGGACACCCAAGATTTGGTTTTCTCGCCCTTGTAGTATTTATCTTTCGCCCCCAAGTTGATACGAAAAAGTAATTCTTCCTCTGTTCAGCTTTGTTTCCTCGAACGCTACAGAGAACGCTTCCGCATTCATAAGAAACTTTTCCCTCCTTTTGGTTCATTCTTTGTAGTTGACAGAACAATGGACCTTTCTGCTTCTCTAACTTTTTGTGTTCTGAAGACAGCCATCTTTTTTTAGAAACGGGGATAAACGCTAGTCTTATCGCCTCCGACAAAGGTTGATAACCGTGCGCCTCTTTCGGGAAGCCGGGATCGGGGAACTTGTGACGAAAAGGGTCAACAATGCCAGAAACTTGCCTTACCTTAACCTTACACTTTGAGAACTCGATGTTATATGATAAGCATCTGATATTTGCGTGTCGCCTCGTCGTATACCAACCGGTGTTGGTTAAAACGAACAAGGAGGTGACTTTGTTGGTCTGATTCGCCTTTAGCGGAAAGATGAAACTTTATACGGGCTTCAGGACAAAGCCATGGACGAAGCTCAACACAATGCTTCGAAGAACGGGGCCGCCGCCAGGAGTAGTTATAGGTAGGACTCCGTGTTTTCGGATATATCCGAAAAACTCTGAAAAGCACTCGCCGGCTAAAATTTTCGTTGATTCGGGTTTATCTGAAAAACTCCAATATCGAAGTCAAAGCACAAAAAATATTAGTTCTAATATAAAACGCTACCAAGAGCGCTCACCAGTGCCCTTCCAAAACTTGTATAATTGCCAAAAGAGGCTCATCTCGTCAATATGCGTGCCATCAGCGACAATAGCTGACGAAATATGACGGCACCTATTACAGCAAGCTCTGAGATAGAGTTCCTAAAAACCGTGATTGCACCAGCTGTAAAGTTCGTGCAATAAAAGTGAATCTTCATCCGTCGAAGTGTGAATAGCTTCTTTTTATTTTGTTCACCATTTTCGGAGATCTGGAAATTGACCAGAAATAAAATTCGATAAACTCGTAATTTCTGAGAATTCAGTATTTACCGAAAATAAACGCCGGTAAATGCCAGATTTTTGAGAAAAGAAAACACAAAAAAACCTCCAAATTTGACGAAAGCTAAACTCCGAAAGCATGGAATCCTAGTTATATGCCAGGGGTGGCCAGGCTGGCCTGGCCTAAGAGCCGCAAACAAAACCGCGGAACTTCCAAGAGCCGCGGAAGGGGGGAGGGGGGGGGGTGCAAACTTGACTTTTGTTTAGAGTTTGCCTGTGCGTATGGGGGCACAAGGATGTAGGACTGTACGTATGGGAGTACAGGGCTGCCAAACTGCAAGCAGCAGTGTGCTTTATTTTGAAATCTTTTTTTTTCCTGGGGAAACGCGGAAAGTGGCGAAAGGGGGGGGGGCAGAGGGGGGGTCCCCTTACGAGGGATCCGCGAGCCGCACTTGGACCAGCAAAGAGCCGCATGCGGCTCGCGAGCCGCGGTTTGGCCACCCCTGTTATATGCTATAAGTAGTGTTTGGTCTAAACCGAAAAACACAAATAAGGGTATGCCGATTTCTTTTTTTTTTTTAAGATAACTATTTTAGAGCGGGAAGAGTAGGGGCAGGGGAGGGAGGAGGTAAGTCTACCCTTTGTTCGGCTGCTATGTTATGCTCCTGCGGTGTCCAACAATCAACCCAAGATAGCTTGTCCGGATATAGGCTTATCACTGGAATTGCCTTTTGTAAAGCCGTTCCATTCAACAAACCTTTTTTCTCTCCTAGAAGAATTATGGAGAAATTGACAATACGGACAAACAAGGCAGGAATTCGTTTTCTTTTGTTTCGCCTTCAGCGGGTGAGGTGCGGAAAGGGGGGCACCCCTGCATTTGGTCTTATGTCACCAGTTATTTCTGCCCTTTCCAGTTAATTTTTCGCATTCTATCATAAAGGAAGGAAGGTCCAGGAGAGGACATAACGCCGCAGATGTGAAGCGGAGGGAGGGGGGAGAACTTCCGGTTTTAGAGGACACGCCCCTATTGGTGACTCACTTGTGTGTCGCCTCGTCGTATGCCAACCAGTGTTGGTGCAAACTAACTCGTCACTTCCCTGAAATGGCTGTGTACTTGCGAAGTAACCGCGGTGGGCTGAAACTTCTGCACGAAGGCTTCGAGTATGACAAGGAACGTTGCTTTAAAGAAAAGGTGAGCCTTTCACTGAGTTTGCGATTCAAATGCGATCTTTTTTTAATAGTACGAAGATTGTTACGCCGACTCTTCCTGTCTTTAGCTAAGTTATAATTTATAAAAACGCCTATTCCTCGCAGACATACTGGCAATGTAGCCGGAAACTGGAGTGTAAAGCAAGGGCTCACACTATTGACGAAGAAGTTGTCAAGCTGATCAACGAACA